AGAGTCTCCTATTCAGGAGCGCTATGCATGTATGAAAACATGTATTCCATGTATTACAGATAATACTGAGGCTGTGGGCCCAGGGTCTCACTACGAACATCATGCGGTGACACAGAAGGGGTAAGGAACGCTAGTGGGAACCATAGGCCTGCTCTCTAGCCCTGAATCTCAGCCCCACACTGGGCAGGGAAGACAGGCCATCCCCTTCTCTAGGCTTGTTTTCTCATTTATAAACACAAGGTTATAACAAATATTCTCCATATCCTAACATGTCACTGGCTCTAGCTCACACAGACACTTGGACTTCTAGCTCAGTTCCTTGTGCCTAGAGAGGTTAAGGGACTTAGCTGAGCCACACAGTGGAAAGCAGAACTGGGAAAGCTCACCAAGCTGCTGGACGCCTCGTTCCTTGGTGTGTGCCATGAAGGCCCTACAAAACAGCTGTGGCTTCTGATAAATGAGTAAGTATTTCCAATATGTCTGAGACAGCCAGAAAAGAGCCTATACCAAGTGCAATCTGGCAAATTCCTTTCTGCCTCCAGAGCTCCCCAACAGGGCAGATGCCTGTGGCCAGATCTTAAAACTGCTGGCAGTAAGGTGGGCTTTACCATGCGTTTGGGAAGGGGCTGAGGATCACTACCAAGGCACCAGTACTACTTTGCACCATGTTGCACTTGCTGGCTGTACACATGTATGCAAATGTGTACATATACCTATGCTCACACTTGCATATGCACATACACACTCTGTAGTTCCATGCACACACGGGCCTTAACCTGAACATGTGCACACATTCATGCAAACACACATTTCCACATGTACACACTCATACTCATGTTCACATACACTTGTGTGTGGACATGCTTTTATAAGTATACTCATGTGTAGTGCCACACAATATATATGAATATACATGTATATATATTCTTACACATGAATGTGCATACTAGCATACATGTATACACAGACACACCGTTACAGCCTGCAGTAGTTCTCAAAGGCTTGACTCAAAAGCAGATTCTCCTGTTCCAAGTGCCCACTCAACACATGCAGCAAGATCACCAAAAGCCAGCTACCGCAATGAGCAGACAAGAACACTGTAAGTTTAAAAAAATTCAACTTAAGCTGAAATATTTTGGGGCTGTATTCTAGCTAAACAGTCCACATCTGAACCTCAATGTGCAGTTTGGTCTGAGTCACAGCCTGGTGAATCTGGGGTTCACTCATACGTGCCTGGGTACTCAACCAGCGCAGTTCAGGGATGAGCTGGCCATGACTCCCAACAGCTTCTATCCATTGGACATCAATTATGACATTTCTCAGTCATAAATCTCCCAGCCCAGCAGCCATGGCTGAACAGCAGCATGGAAAAGCAGATTTGTCTGCGACAGGCTTTGAAGCCACGTCAAAGCAGCCATCAAAGGAAGCAGGCCATTTTCAAACAAAATCCATTTCCCAAGCATGATAGCAAAAAAAAATATTTATCACATGAAAGATGTGAAACCTGTATGATGTCTTGATGCTGTGTTAGTCATGCAACGTGTACCCCCTGGAACGTCTGCAAAACCTGCCATGCCTGTGATTTTGAAGGGGGTGGGGGTGTGTGAGTCCTTTTCCTCTAGCAAATCCTTAATTTCCCAACCGAGCCATGCTGCCTGGGCACCAGAGGCTGAGGAAGGAAGCAGATGCAGCCTACGGTCAGACAGGCTCAGCCAAGGGCTGCACAAAGGATCTGTGCGAGTCTGGGACACAGGGAACGGGCCCTGTGCTTAACTGCTTCATCAGCAGTGGACTCTGAAGGGCATCTGTGCTGATACATGTGCACAGGGTCAGACAAGGCTACGGCACCGGGTCTCAGGATTATCCACAGTCTACGCTTTCTTCCACTATTAAGACTGTGCTCTACAAATGTTCCCTCTCTCTCTCCCTCCCTTCCTCCCCCTCTCTTTGTGTGTTGTGTGTGTGTGTGTTGTGTGTGTGTGTGTGTGTTTGCGTGTATCAGATGTCACTCTTAAGGTGGCTGCCACCCACTGTGTTTTTTAGACACAAACTCTTACTGACCTGGGACTCACCAAGTGGGCGAGGTTGGCTAGCCAGTGATCGTCCTATCTCTGACCCTCTGGTGATGGGATGACAAACAAACTACCATGTTCAACACTTCTCCGTAAGTTCTAGGGCTCAAACAATGGTCCTCAAGCTCTCGGGGTAAGAGGTTTACCAACTGAGCCATCACCCTAATCCTTCGAGTGTATTTCCAAAGTGCACCATTAAGCACACCTAACACACACACTAAACCATCAGAAGGCAAACTGCTCACCTGTGAGAGCTAAGGTCTCCCAGACTCAGAGCTAATGGCAAGTTCTCTGCTCAGAGAGCCTGAAGATCTCACGTTCCCCTTCCAAACTCTTCTTCAAGGTTGGGGTTGGGCCAGAGAGGGTGCTCTGATACACAACCTTAACAACTGCTCTGTGGGTAGGAGACATGGACTCAGGTTTCTTGTCCTTTCACCTGGGTGGTGGCTCAGACAGTGGTAGAACTTGGCACACTGGTGAAGACACTCTAGCTTGGGGTACATTTTCTGTGTACCCTTAGGAAAAAATAAGATTCCATGCGTTTAGGATTATAATAGCATGAGGCCCATTTCCATAATTCAGAACTGGCAAGGCTTAACTCTGTAGAGTCAGTGTGGCCCAGAAGTGAAAGACAAGACCTCAGAGATGCTCTGTCTGGCTCTGGAATGTATCTTTACCCCTCACCATTTGTCTAACCTGCCATAAACCTCTAAACCTCTCCATGTTTCAATTTCTAAACGTGGGAAACTTGGAGTGGTTGTAGAACCGCTTCCTGTGCGGTTCCTACAGGGAGTGTGCAATTTAGCAACAGAACCTTCAAATTCTCCATGGGCATACATTAATCGTTAAGTTTTGTAACTGTTCCTGGTCAAATGTGCTGGGAATTGAGGATAGGACGATGAATGAAAGTGTGGGGCTTCTTGGGATGACTGCTTGTCATCTAATATTCTCCATAGCATTTGCCATAGAGTAATTTAGAACCGTAGGCAGCTCCTCCATCCTTCCAGTAGATTGTGTGAATCCAGAACCTGCCAGTGCCCTGGAATAAGTATCCTAATGAGGCATTTGCAAGGTCTGCCCCTAATCCTGGCCCCTGGCCCTCTAGAGGATAATGAGAAGTCAGGAAAGCCTACAGCATGAGCATCCGAGCTCGTTGGACTGGGGTCCACTATATCCAGACTGACAATGGAAGCAGGAGAGTTGGGCAGGTGAAAAGATCTTCCTGCCAACTGGTCCGTCAAATATGCATCCTAGAGCTATTATTCAAGTTAGGATCTTAAATGTCCCCCAGAAGCCTATGAGTTAAAGGGCTAGCCCACAAGGTGTTCCACTGAGTGGTGCTGAGGACATTTAGATGATGACGTCTGGTGGGAAAGGCTGAGGTCTCTGAGGATTGTCCTCAGTGGTTCCTGTGGGGTCTCCGCCCCTTTCCTCATGCTCTCCTTTGCTTCCTAGCCACAAGATGAGTCTCTCTGCTCTGACATGCACGTCCACTATCACTGTGTTGTTGTCTGAGGCCCAAAGCAATAGTGCCAGCACTGGGGTCTCCAACACTATCAGATAGAACAAACCTTCTCTATTTGTAACTGGATTTTCTCAGGTATTTTTAACAGCAGTGATAAGCTGACTAACACACCCCTGTGGCTCTATGGTTCTGCAGGAAAGTAGATACATTCCTCAAGGCCTGCGTTATGCTCCTCTAGGCTGCCCAGGATTCATGGCATGTCAGTAACCATAGACCGGTTTGAACTGGCTTGAACCGGCCTGAACCGGCCGGAGCCAGTCTGGGCCAGTTGGAACCGATTGGTTGGGACTGGCCAGAACCGGCTCAAACCGGCTTGAACCCGCTGGAATCAGTCTGAGCCAGCTTGAACTGGTTGGGACCGGTGGGAGCCGGTCTAGAACGATCTGAACCGGCTTGAACCGGTCTGAGCCGGTTTGAACTGGCCCAGACTGGCCAGAACCGGTTGAGACTGGTCTGGACCGGCCAGAACTGGTTTGAACCGGTCGAGACCAGCCGGACCCGGCCTAGACCGGTTTGAACCAGTCGGAACCAGTTTGAGCCGGCTTGAACCGGTTGGATCTGGTCTGGACCAGTCGGAACTGGTATGAACCGGTTTGAACCTGCCGGAACCGGTTTGAACCGATCGGAACCACTCTTGGCCAGTTGGACCCGGTTCCAACCGGACTGAACCGGCCGGAACCAGACTGAACCGGCTTGAACCGACCTGAACCGGTTGGAGCCAGCTTGAACCTGCTTGAACCGGCCTGGACCAGTCGGAACTGGCTTGAACTGGTTGGAACAGGTTTAGACCAGCTTGAACCGGTCGGAACTGGTTTGAACTGCCTTGAACCGGCTTGGACCAGTTGAACTGGTTTGAATTGGATCTCCTGGAGCTGGAGTTACAGACCGTTGTAACCTGTGTGACGTGGGTGCTGGGAACCCACACAGGTCCTCTACAGGAACAGCAAGTGCTCTAAACGGTTGACTCACCTGCCTTCCCCTTAATGTATTATTATTATTATTTTGGTTTTTTTTGAGACAGGATTTCTCAGTGTAGCCCTAGCTGTCCTGGAACTCACTCTGTAGACTAGGCTGGCCTTGAACTCACAAAGGTCCACCTGCCTCTGTCTTCTGAGTGCTAGGATTAAAGGTATGTGTCCCCATTGCCTGGCTAAATGTATTTTTTTGAGGCAGCTTCTTGCTATGTGTCTCATGCTGGCTGAAACTTGAGGTACCCTTCCTGCCTTGGTGCCCCTGCACTAGAGCAGGGATGACAGGCATGCACCCCGAGCTGGAGTGTAACTTCTAGCTTTCACACGGAAGTGAGAAGTGCATCCTGGAGGAGGCAGCTGCCCAGTTGCAGTAAACCACGCATGTATCCAGCCTTACAGAAGGACTTCTGGGAAAACAAGCATCCCAGAATGTCACTGCTTCACCCTGAAGTCAGTCCTGCCCATGGTTGTGACGAAGGCCATTCAGACTTCTCTGTTCCTCAGGCTGTAGATGAGGGGATTGAGGGTGGGTGTGATGAGGCTGTAGAAGAGGGACACCATGTTGTCTTGTTGTGGGCTGTGGTAGCTTCCCGGGACCATGTACATGAACACGGCTGCCCCATAAAAGAGACCCACTACAGCCAAGTGTGACAAGCATGTGGTGAAAGCCTTGTGTCTAGCTTCAGCTGAGCGCATGCGCAGCACAGCCCCCAGAACATGGCCATAGGAGGTAAAGATGAGAGACAAGGTAAGATAAGATCAGCACACGGAGATGGATAGTGCCAACTCATAGGCGGATGTGTCCGCGCATGACAGTTTGAGGAGAGCTGGCAGCTCACAGAAGTGGTCCACGGTGTGTGAGGCACAGTAGGGGAACATCAGGGTGATAGAGGTCAGGATGGAGGCCACAAGTGCACCTGAGAACCAGGATGCGCCCACCATCACCAGACACACCTGGCCTCTCATGAGCTCCTGGTAATGCAGGGGGTGGCACACAGCCACGTAGTGGTCATAAGACACGAAGAAAAGAAGGACACCCTCAGAGACACCCATGAGCATGAGGAAGAACATCTGGGTGGTGCATCCCCCGAAGGTTATGACGTTTCTTTCCTGCAGGAAGTCAGCCACCATCTTGGGGATGGTGACCAGTGGGAAGCCAATATCCGGAAGTGAGAGCTGGCTGAGCAGGAAGTACATGGGTGTGTGGAGTCTGGAGTCTGTGGCGATCAGAATGAGTATGGTGTTGCCTAGCAGTCCTGCGGTGAATATAGTGGCCACGAGGAAGAAGAGGATGAGATGAGGTCCTGTGTGGCTGAAAAGCCCCACGAGGGTAAAATCTGAGATTGCTGACACATTTGATGCCCCCATCCTCCCAGAGTGCATCACTGTCTAGGGAAGCACAGGTGATTTGGTAAAGGGTCCCAGTGGGATAATTTTACATCATAAGGCAACTGTTCGGTTGAGATCCTCCCCCTCCACCTCTACCACCCGGAGTCTCACTAGTAGGGGGATGAAAATTTATGAATATATCCAGGTTCAGCTCAAGAGAGGGGCTGGGGGCATGGCTCAGGGTTAAGCCCCTGCTGGGGCAGTGGCTCAGGGTGGAGCCCCTGCCTAGAATCCCCAGTGAAGGGCTGGGGGCGTGGCTCAGGGGGTGGAGCCCCTGCCTAGAATCCCCAGTGAGGGACTGGGGCTGTGGCTGGAGGTGAAGCCCCCTGTCTAGAATCCCCAGTGAGGGGCTAGGGGTGTGGCTCAGGGGTGGAGCCCTGCCTAGACTCCCCCAGTGAGGGGCTAGTAGCATAGCTCAGGAGTAGAGCCTTTGCCTAGAATCCACCTGTGATCAGAACAGAGAATTCCACCCTGGTATCTGAGAGATACCATCATGATACCTCTCAAGCAAGAGCAATCTAACAATATTTACAACTGAAGGCTGTCACTAAGCTAAAGAGCACAAGACAGCTCCAGTGGGAGATCACAGGACACAGCTCCCCAGACGCCCTGGGGCTGAATCAGGTATGGGATTTTGAAGAGGTCAAGATTCGAAGTAGGGAGACCTTGTCCAAGATGACGCAGGTAGATCAAGACATGTCCGGAACCGTGAAGAAAGACTCATTTCGATACTGTTGGCACAGAGAAGATCTGAAAATCAATAACAGTCAGAAATGGAATATTTGGGATGGTTCAAGAGAGATGGAGAGTCAGCAGGTTGGACTAAGTGTCCCCAGTGATAGAGGAAATACAATATCAGCCTGTTTATTAAGTTTCTGTTGTGTGTATATGTATGCGTGTATATGTGTATGCATGTGTGTGCATGTATATGTGTGTATATTGTGTGTGTGTGCGTGTGTGTGTAGGCTAGATGTCAATATTGGGTGTTGCTTCTCAGGGGCTGCATTGTCCATCTTGGTTTTTGAGATGAGGTCTTTCCCCAGCTTGGAGCTCCACAAGCAGGTTAGCTGATCAGCAAGTCAGGGAACCAGCCTGGATTTGTCTCCCCAGAGCTGGGATTATAAACTTCTGCCAACATGTCTGTTTTTTTTCTCCTTCTCCTCCTCCCTGATTATGTATACATGCGTACGTGGTAGCCAGAGAGCAACTTGGAGGAGTCAGTTCTCTCTCTGACGATGCATATCTCAGGGACTAAATTCAGTCCTCATGTTTGTATATCGAACATTTTTATAATAGAGTCCTCTCCCCAGCCGACAGTTAGCTCAGGGCAGATGCGTTATGTTTAGTGTGTATAAATACGTGGCCACACATCCACCATCCTCCTTTCCCTCGATCTCAGAGGGTCTGACAGTGGTGTTGATACTTCTCACCTCCAGCACTGAACACGTCTGTGTTGAAGATACACCTGTTACAGTTGGTGGGGACACACCCAGGAACACAGGCATGCTGGGCTCTAGAGAACAGAAAAGACACCAGGTTTGCCATGTGTCCACAGGAGGTGAGACCCTTGGACATAAGGATTTTCCTGCAGACCACGTGACACCCAGGTCACCATGCCTTTACCCTGGATACCTCCAACCTCTCTGTCTTGTTTTCCTCTAACACAGCTTTGCTTAGCTTCATCAGAAACCTCTGGCTTAGGGCTGGAGAGATGGCTCAGTTAAGGGCATGTGTTGCTCTTCCAGAAGACCCGAGTTTGGTTCCTAGAACCCACACCTGGTGGCTCACAATTCCTTGTATCTCTAGCACCAGGAGATCAGACACCTCTGGCCTCTGAGAGCATCCACACACACATGCAATGATAAAAAATGAATAAATTGACTATAATAATAATAACTTTTGGCAAAGGCCTAGTGAGATGAGTCAGAGGGTGGAGATGCTTGGTGACAAGTTTGAGTACAAGCCCTGAGAAACAACATGGTGGCGGGCGAGAACCGGCTCCTGCAAGCTGTCTTCAGACTTCACACCCTTGTCATGGTGGGTCTCCTCCAACAAAGCCTCTGGGAACATTTTCCTTTGCTTACGTGCCATCCTCTCTCCACTTCTGTCTCTTTTGTCTTGTTTCCTTTGAACTTTCAACTTCAAATCATTGAAGGCAATGGCTTCTTACCAATGCCTTTTGATATTACACTTTCCCAAGCTGTTCTGCCATGCAGCTATTTCTTCCCAAATGAAACATTCCCTCTGGAAACTCCCAAGCCCAGGAAGTGCAGCCAAGATTGACAAGGCCCCATAGCAAGGTTTTAGAAGCAGTGAAGTGTTAACACTGGCAGTGGGTGGGGAGGCAAGACACACATGATGGGGCGGGACAGACGATGATAGTGACAGGACAGGACAGCAATGACAGCTCCAGAGAGGTGCCACCCACTGTGGGTGAGGCCTTCTGGAAACACTGCTGCCTGGGTCCTCTATACTTTTGTTCGATACCCAAGGAATGTTAGGTCTGTGTTTTGGTTTCTTTCTTCCTTCCTTCCTTCCTTCCTTCCTTCCTTCCTTCCTTCCTTCCTTCCTTCCTTCCTTCTTTTCTTCCTTCCTTCCTCCCTCCCCCTCTCTTTCTTTTTGGTTTTTTTTTGAGACAGGGTTTCTCTATGTGGCCCTGGCTGTCCTGAAACTCGCTCTGTAGACTAGGCCAGCCTTGAATGCACAGAGATCCACCTACCTCTGCCTCCAGAGTGCTGAGATTGAAGGTGCATGCCACCATAACCTGGCTCAACATAGGTTTTTTTTTATTTCTTTTTTTTTAAAAAGGTACTTGTTTCACAGTGATTACTCCCAGTAATCAACTACGGTGGGAAAATGGTCTTGTACCTTGTAAAGATTTGTCACTTGTATTGGTTTAATAAAATGCTGATTGGCCAGAAGTAAGGCAGGAAGTATAGGCAGGGTGACCAGAAGAGGAGAATTCTGGGAAGAGGAAAGGCTCAGTCTGCAGTTATCACCCAAACACAGAGGAAGCAAGATGAGAGTATGTCACTGACAAAGGTACCAAGCCACGTGTCTAACACAGAAAAGAATTATGGGTTAATGTAAGATGTAAGAGTTAGTTAATAACAAAGCCTGAGCTAATAGGCCAATTAGTTTATATTAATGTAAGCCTCTGTGTGTTTCTTTGGGACTGAATGGCTGAAGGACTGGGTCGGACAGAAACCTCTGTCAACAATCAACTACTTGTGTCTCATGGTAAATGAGTGGACAGAAAGAAAAGGTTTGAAATTTATGTAAGTTGTAAGGGTCTAAGAAAGTGATTTAAGGGCTGGAGAGATGACTCAGAGGTTGCTCTTCCAGAGGTCCTGTGTTCAATTCCCAGAGAACACATCCCAGCTCACAGATCTGGTGCCCTCTTCTGGCCTGCAAGCATATATGCAGGCAGAACACTATTCGTAATAAATAAATACATCTTTAAAAAAAGAAAGAAGGTAATTTAAGGTATATAAATGTATACTGTAAAGGCATAAGAAAGTGATTTAAGGTATATAAAAAGTTAGAAATGTTTCATAGTTCTTCCCCTATGAATGCTTGTGTTATACTAAGACTTCAAATCACTCACTCTCTTGGTAACAATTATTTACTCTTACAATGTCTTAGCCACTGAAGGAGGCCTGGAAACCTGGGGGTCAGGGCAGGAGAGATAATTCTCTGGTCAAGAGTGCTTGCTGTTCAGAGACTGGAGTTAGGTTTCCAGCACCCACATGGTGGCTTCAAACTGCCTGCAACTCCAGCTACAGGTTACCCAATGCCTTCTTCTGGCCTCTTGGGGCACTACACACATGTGCACATACCCACATACAGATACACTCACATACACATAAAAAAATAAATCTAAAACATAAAGGAAATCTGGATGTGAAAAAGACAGGGATGATTCCAGAAGGTTCAGAGACCCTTTGGGGAGATAAGAACAAGAAAGCAATAAACAAACAAACAAATGAATAAATAAAAAACAAAACCCACTGTCTTCTTTCATAAATACAACAAAGGAGATTCGTCAATTTGGAAACTACTCATACAGCAGAGAAAATGAAACAGACCTGCAGTGGGAATGAGTGGTCCACAGCATGGGAAGTCTTTGCCAGCATTTGTCTGACATACATGAGGAACTCCAAACCATCAAACAAGGAAACAAAGCAGCCAGTGCACACAGGGGCGAGGGTTGAATGGTTAGTTCTCAGAAGAAGACAGGAGGTCAGCACATACGTGAGAATGGTATTCAGCCTCTTGGAAAGTGCATATCGAAAAGTCCATTGAGAAGTGGGCGTGGAGGCACAGCAAGATGGGCAACCTGTGAGAGGTTCCTCTGAGATGAGAACTTCCTGGCCCCCAGGGGAAACCCTCAGTCAAGCACAGGAAGTAAACAACTCAAAGACTTCAGGAAGTCCTCCAGAGCGACAAGGCTGACTAGGCCCCTCCTTCCTTAAGTGGGCATAAGGTATACCATAGACGTCAAAGAAAGCTGAGTCCTAGCACAGCGTGGTCAGGGGGCTGAGAGTGGCCTAGCAGTGACAAGATGCTATTTGAACTTGTCAAGTAGGGGCCTAGACCACCTCATGTGCCCAACCACTCCACTTGTCTCATACATATAGCACACTTAGCTGCTTGTACTGTGGACTTCAGAGAGACTATCTCCTTCCTAAGCTCCTTGCTTCCTGCAAGGCCCCAGACAAGGGACAGAACTGTAGGACAGCATGTAGGACCAGGGTGCATGCCACCCAGGGCCTGCCTTCTCCTGAGTCCTCCCTGCATTTCTTGGCAAGCTTCTTCTCAGCACAGTGGGCTTGGAGGTCTCCCAAATGCATCAGTGCCATACCCAGAACTAAGAGGCTCAGGAATCCCCTCCCACACCTGTAAACGGAGACTGTGCTTTTGTTTCCCTCCTGCCCAGACCCAAATGATCACACAGAAACTATATTAATTACAACACT